ATCTCTAGCTTCAGCCTGGAGATCCTCCACCTTTTTCCTATGCTTATTAATAATTTCATAGTAATCTGGTATTTCGGTGGTCGTATTGTGTACCCAGGAACAGCACTTATAATCAGTGGTGGATTCACAAAGCCCAGTCAGTGCTGCACCAATTTGTTCTACCTTTATCTCATTAATAAGCTCTTGTTTTCCTAAGGCCCGTAATTCTACATTAATAAGACTTATTTCAGCTTGTGTTTCATTTATATTATTTGATCGATAATAAGTGAGTAGTTGTTAAGTCTCCTCATTAATTCTATTCCCCATCCAGTCCATGTATGAAACCATGACCAAGCCTGCTCTTCTACCTTGAACAAATTTCTCTTATATCTATGTTTCAGATGATACCAGGGATGATTACTAGCCAATAGGGCATCAATATGTTCTCCTCCCATAACATCCATCACTGGTACCAAAGTGGCCAAATAGCACCAACCCTCCTGATCCCGGGGAATCCATGGGTAACAAACTTTCCCACAGCACACCTGGACTCCCTGAGTAACCTACTAGGGCTAAATTAATAAAAACTCATTACCTAATCAGTAATGTTTTGGGTGATCTTTTTGGTCAATTATCTTTTTAATATATTTCTACCATTATTCTCTCAGTTGTATTCATTTGTATAATATGACCACTTGTATGTTCCTTCCCAGTAATATTTAATTTAGATAAGGGGAATAATTAATTCCCCTTCTCTTGACCCTTACCCAGATGAAAACACCATTTGGGTTTCATAACGACCCCCAATACTTCAAATTTAGGTTGGGTGGTAACATTAGTTAATATAATACTCAGGTTACCTTCCAACTTAGTTGTGACATTTAGGTACTGCATATACAGTATGGGTATGCTCATAGTTTCAGGGTGGAGCATGCTACAAACCCAACAACTTTTAAGCCCCGAGAATTTAGCATACTTATATTTAAACTTCAGTAATGACATGTTTTCCGTTGTAGACCTCTTCTGTCTTTTTACAGGTACGGTACACCCAAAATTAGCAACCACTTTGTTTCCCTTTTGAACATGTAACAGAAAACCCTCATTCCATTTACAAGTTAGTGCCTGACTACATTAATCCATAATGCAACATGTAAACTTGTGTGTAGTACTAATGTCTATTTGATATTGACCTTTAAAAGGTATCAGATGGGTATATGTTTGTTTAGCTCCTTCTACCAGATGTGATTCAGATGGGCTATTCCATGTTAATGTAGTACATGACTTATTCTCATCCGGTTGTGATGAGGTACAACCCACCAACCATCCTGAACTCCCAGAGAGTTCCTGAACCACTGGTCCCTTTCTATCATATGAATTCTCCAATAGAAAACCAGACTGGGACAATGATAATAGTCTCTCAACTGATAAGATAATAATCAGGTTCTTCCAGTCCTCACAGGGATCCAGTAGGATGGGTAGCAGAGTTCTTGGCTCCTTCTTCTGTTGGTGGATCAGCTTGATTGTGTCTCTCATCTTGGGAAATCCTTTTGACTCTTGATGCATGGATCCAGGTGCCTGATCCTTCAGTAAGAACAGCTGTCCGTGTAATGGCCATGATCACTGTAGGTTCTCCAAACCAGGGTCTTACCCTTGGATCCTTTGTTTGGATCACCACTTGATCACCTACCTTGAAGGGGTGGGTTGGTTGATCTGCGGGTAAAGGAAAAGAGGTGGCAACATCACCATATTCACTATTCAACTTTTCACACAATGCTTTTACATTTTCTACCTGTATCACCTCTAAATCTCCTTTCTGCCACAGAGGGGACTGCTGTCTAGTCCAAAGGGTGGGGAATGGTGCCCATCTCAAAGGGAGACAACTTACCTTGTTTATTAGGTGTCATCCTTATTTCAGCTAGTATAGCAGGTAACACAGCTGGCCAATTCTTCAGATTCCCTCCCGTGGCTTTCACTAATTTATCCTTAATTGTCCTATTCATTCTTTCCACTACTGCAGAACTCTAGGGTGGTAGGGAATATGGAGCTTCCATTGAATACTGAAAGCCTTTGAGACTCCCTGAGTCACTACTGCAGTAAAAGCCACTCCCTGAACGCTTTCTATGAACAAAGGACAACCCCATCTAGGGATGATTTCCTTGACAAAACCTTGACCGCTGTCTCTGCTGTTTCATTCCTACATGGGAAAGCTTCCGGCCAACCTGAAAATCTGTCTACTACCACCAACAGCTTATCTCCTTCTTTTGATTTAGGGAGCTGTGTAAAATCTATCTGTGTGAATGGTGCCTCAGGGGGTGTTAAATGTTCATGTTTCCCATGCTGGCTATTCCCAGGGTTGTTTTGTAAACAAGTAAGGCACCTTCCCAATGTCTCCTGCACTAGATCATGGAGAAACCATACACAGAATCGTTTGCACATTTCTTGTTCCACTAACTGTTTTCCCTTATGACCCACACCATGAAAAGTTTGAATGAATAATACGGCAGCTGCCTGTGGAAGTACTAAAATTCCCTCTTTTGACATTACCATAGAATTATCTGCTCGATTATGCAGGTGCCCCCGCAGTTTTTGCAGCTGCGTCTGCCATAGCATTGCCTTTTGTGACTGGGTCTTTGGCGTTAGTATGTGCCCCGACTTTAATGACTGCTATCCTTCTTGGAAGTTGGAGTGCGGCAAGCAAATCTTGGATCAAGAATGATGTGATATTGACTTGCCATCGGCTGTAGTGAAACCACAGCATTGCCAAAATATGACCAAAATCATGCACAACCCCAAACACATATTTTAAAATCTGTGTATATGTTAACATCTCGATCTTGATAAAGAATGCAAGCTTGTGTTAGGGCCACTAATTCAGCTACTTATGCACTGGGGTAGGGGATGGAACCTGTTTTCAATAATAAAAGGTGGTGCTACTACTGCATAGTCTGTGATGTATGTAGCATCACTGGGGCATATGCAGGATCCATCGACAAACACATCAGGGGACTCCAGGAATCGGAGTCTCCTAACATGTCTACTTGTGGTGAAGTGTCAGCTTGGATAACATCCAGGCAGTTGTGCTCCTCCTGCAATTCTGGTGACCTTGTGTTGTGGAGATTAAGTAGGGAGGACAATAAAGAGATTGTCCCGATGTAGACGGGCTGTATTTAACTGTGAGGTTAGTGGTGGATGTCAGAATTACTTCACATACCGCCAGGCGTTGTGCTGACATGTGTTGAGTGTTAATGTTTTTTCAGTACATGTAGGACATGATGAGATGTGTGTAAGACCAAATGGGTTCCCAAAAACTATGGTAGATGCTATTTCCACATCCAAGGCACACACAGACAAAACTTGGAGACACCACCCCGGCATGCCCTGGACCGGGATGGGCATTGTTTTTTGATAAATATGCTACCAGTCATCACCGGCACCTCCATGCTTTTGAGCTAGTACTGCAGCCATAGTTTTTTACATGCAGATTGACAATACAAATGAAAAAATTTTGTATAATCCGGTTAACCCTAATGCGGGAGACGAGACCAGTACTGTCTTCAAATATTCAAATGCCTGCACCAATGGTGGTGTCTAGAGATGAGCGAATTATTCCAAAAATTCGATTCGGCTGATTCGGCGGAATCACGCGGAATAAATTACCGAGTGTCGAGTCCAAGTATATGTGGGCGCGCTGGCGAATTTAGCAAAGGGAAATAGGGTGTGTTTCTAAGGCTATCAGAAAAATATTAGTGCCCACCAGCAGTGTACCTTTAATTTAAATGCCCTGTGGAGTCTGCTGGCACAGAGAAAATAGACTGTGGCAGTATGGAGACAGCAGCAATGAGAGGCCGTTTTTTGAACTTAGGAACCCACCGACACACACTTGACACTGGCAGCTCAGGCATGAGGAGGCAGTCACAGGGGCCCATGACAGATTACGTGCCTGGCAGCAGCATGAGGAGCGGTACGGGGGCCCATGGCAGATTACGGGCCTGGCAGCAGCAATGGGGAGGCCATACAGCACCCTATGAAAAAATGGAACCCACCAGCAGTGTGAGGAGACCTGAAAGTGGCACATAGGCAGAGTGTGGCGATGGAGACAGCAGCAATGGGAGGCCGTACAGGGACCCCATGACACACTCTGGACCTGGCAGCAGCATGAGGAGGCGGTACAGGGGCCCATGACAGATTAACGGGCCTGGCAGCATCATGAGGAGTCGGTACGGGGGCCCATGGCAGATTACGGGCCTGGCAGCAGCAATGGGAGGCCATACAGCACCCTATGACAAAATGGAACCCACCAGCAGTGTGAGGAGACCTGAAAGTGGCACATGGCAGAGTGTGGCGATGGAGACAGCAGCAATGGGAGGCCGTACAGGGACCCATGACACACTCTGGACCTGGCAGCAGCATGAGGAGGCGGTACAGGAGCCCATGACAGATTGGGCCAGGCAGCAGCATGAGGAGTTGGTGGCCCATGGCAGATTGAGGCTTGGCAGGTACAACAGCACCCTAATGGGCCCAGCACCCTATGAAAAAAAAAACAATGGCAGATGTGAGGAGGCCTGAAAGGCACAGCAGAGTGTGTGGCGATGGAGCCGCAGCAATGGGGCCCGTACAGGGACCCATGACACACTCTGGACCTGGCAGCAGCATGAGGAGGCGGTACAGGGGCCCATGACAGATTACGGGCCTGGCAGCAGCATGAGGAGTCGGTACGGGGGCCCATGGCAGATTACGGGCCTGGCAGCAGCAATGGGAGGCCCGTAATCTACAGCACCCTAGGACCAAAATGGAACCCACCAGCAGTGTGAGGAGACCTGAAAGTGGCACATGGCAGAGTGTGGCGATGGAGACAGCAGCAATGGGAGGCTGTACAGGGACCCATGACACACTCTGGACCTGGCAGCAGCATGAGGAGGCGGTACAGGGGCCCATGACAGATTACGGGCCTGGCAGCAGCATGAGGAGTCAGGTACGGGGGCCCATGGCAGATTACGGGCCTGGCAGCAGCAATGGGAGGCCGTACAGGGACCTATGACACAAATGGAACCCTGGGCAGCAGCATGTGAGGCGAACCTGAACAGTGGCCCATGACAGATTGTGGCGATGAGACAGCAGCAATGAGGAGGCCGTACAGGGGCCCATGACAGATTCTGGCCTGGCAGCAGCAATGAGGAGGTGGTACAGGTGCCAGCACAGATTGCGGGCCTGGCAGCAGCAGTGTGAGGAGTCGGTACGGGGGCCCATGGCAGATTATGGGCCTGGCAGCAGCAATGGGAGGCCGTACAGGGACCCATGACACACTCTGGACCTGGCAGCAGCATGAGGAGGCGGTACAGGGGCCCATGACAGATTACGGGCCCTGCAGCAGCATGAGGAGTTGGTACGGGGGGCCCATGGCAGATTACGGGCCTGGCAGCAGCAATGGGAGGCCATACAGCACCCTATGACAAAATGGAACCCACCAGCAGTGTGAGGAGACCTGAAAGGGGCACATGGCAGAGTGTGGCGATGGAGACAGCAGCAAATGGGGACCCATGACCGTACAGGGATCAGCCATGACACACCCTGGATTGCCTGGCAGCAGCATGAGGAGGCGGTACAGGGGCCCATGACAGATTACGGGCCTGGCAGCAGCAATGGGAGCCGTACGGGGGACCCATGGGGACACACTTGGACCTGGCAGCAGCAATGAGGAGGCCATACAGGGGCCCATGACAAGATTACGGGAACTGGCAGCAGCATGAGGAGTCGGTAGGGGCCCATGGCAGAGTAACGGCGATGGGAGCAGCAGCAATGGGAGGCCATACAGCACCCTATGACAATGGAACCTGGCACCAGCAGTGTGAGGAGCCCTGAAATTACGGCCTGGCAGGCACATCGGCGGGTGTGGCGATTGGGGACTGGCAGCAGCAATGGGAGGCCGTACAGGGACCCATGACACACTCTGGACTGGCAGCAGCATGAGGAGGCGGTACAGGGGCCCATGACAGATTACGGGCCTGGCAGCAGCATGAGGAGTCGGTACGGGGGCCCATGGCAGATTACGGGCCTGGCAGCAGCAATGGGAGGCACCGTATACTGCCAGCCCCTATGACAAAATGGAACCCACCAGCAGTGTGAGGAGACCTGAAAGTGGCACATGGCAGAGTGTGGCGATGGAGACAGCAGCAATGGGAGGCCGTTACAGGGACCCATGACACACTCTGGGACCTGGCAGCAGCATGAGGAGGTGGTACAGGGGCCCATGACAGATTGTACGGGCCTGGCAGCAGCATGAGGAGTCGGTACGGGGGCCCATGGCAGATTATGGGCCTGGCAGCAGCAATGGGAGGCCGTACAGGGACCCATGACACACTCTGGACCTGGCAGCAGCATGAGGAGGCGGTACAGGGGCCCATGACAGATTACGGGCCTGGCAGCAGCATGAGGAGTCGGTACGGGGGCCCATGGCAGATATACGGGCCTGGGGCAGCAGCAATGGGAGGCCGTAATCTGCCAGCACCCTATGACAAAATGGAAACCCACCAGCAGTGTGAGGAGACCTGAAAGTGGCACATGGCAGAGAGTGTGGCGATGGAGACAGCAGCAATGGGAGGCCGTACAGGGACCCATGACACACTCTGGACCTGGCAGCAGCATGAGGAGGCGGTACAGGGGCCCATGACAGATTACGGGCCTGGCAAGCAGCATGAGGAGTCGGTACGGGGGCCCATGGCAGATTACGGGCCTGGCAGCAGCAATGGGAGGCCGTACAGCAACCCTATGACAAAATGGAACCCACCAGCAGTGTGAGGAGACCTGAAAGTGGCACATGGCAGAGTGTGGCGATGGAGACAGCAGCAATGGGAGGCAGCGCCGTACAGGGATCCATGGCAGATTACGGAACCTGGCAGCAGAAGCAGCAATGGGAGCCCGTAATCCTGCCAGCACCCTATGACAAATACGAAACCACCAGCAGTGCATGAGGAGACTGAAAGTGGCCCATGGCAGAGATTTGTGGCGATGGTAACAGCAGCAATGGGAGGCCGTACAGGGACCCATGACACACTCTGGACCTGGCAGCAGCATGAGAGGCGGTACAGGGGCCCATGACAGATTACGGGCCTGGCAGCAGCATGAGGAGTCGGTACGGGGGCCCATGGCAGATTACGGGCCTGGCAGCAGCAATGGGAGGCCCGTAATCTGCCAGCACCCTATGACAAAATGGAACCACAGCAGTGTGAGGAGACCTGAAAGTGGCACATGGCAGAGTGTGGCGATGGAGACAGCAGCAATGGGAGGCCGTACAGGGAGGTGGGGGGGGGACCCATGACACACACTCTGGACCTGGCAGCAGCATGAGGAGGCGGTAACAGGGGCCCATGACAGATTACGGGCCTGGCAGCAGCAATGAGGGAGTCGGTACGGGGGCCCCCATGGCAGATTACGGGCCTGGCAGCAGCAATGGGAGGCCGTAATCAGGGGCACTATGACAAAATGGACCCACCAGCAGTGTGAGGAACCTGAAAGCAGCACATGGCAGAGCGGTGGCGATGGAGACAGCGCAGCAATAGGGAGCCGTAACAGGAGGACCCATACACACCTGGACAGGCAGCAGCATGAGGAGGCGGTACAGGGGCCCATGGCAGATTACGGGCTGGGCCTGGCGGTACGGGGCAGCAATGGGAGGCCCGTAATCTGCCAGCCGTACACGCCTATGACAAAATGGAACCCACCAGCAGTGTGAGGAGACCTGAAAGTGGCACATGGCAGAGTGTGGCGATGGAAGACAGCAGCAATGGGAGGCGTACGGGACCCATGACACACTCTGGACCTGGCAGCAGCATGAGGAGGGCGGTACAGGGGCCCATGACAGATTACTGGGCCTGGCAGAAGCAGGAGTCGGTACGGGGGCCCATGGCAGATTACGGGCCTGGCAGCAGCAATGGGTCAGGCCATACAGCACCCTATGACAAAATGGAACCCACCAGCAGTGTGCAGGAGACCTAAATGGCACATGGCAGAGTGTGGCGATGGAGAAGCAAGCAGCAATGGGAGGCCGTACATGGGGGACCCATGGATACACTTTCTGGACCTGGCAGCAGCATGAGGCTTCCGGTACTGGGGGCCCATGGACAGATTAATGGCCTGGCAGCAGCATGAGGAGTCCGGTAATTTGCCGCATGGCAGACTTTGGCGATGGAGCAGCAGCAATGCAGATGCGTACAGAGACCCATGGACACACTCTGGACCTGTCCGCAGCAGCATGGTGGAGCAGCAATGGGGCGTCCCGTACAGGGGCCCATGACAGATTACTGGCCTGGCAGCAGCATGAGGAGTCGGTCTACGGGGGGCCCATGGCAGATTACGGGCCTGGCAGCAGCAATGGGAGGCCCGTAATCTGCCAGCACCCCTATGACACTAAAATGGAACCCACCAGCAGTGTGAGTGAGTTGACCTGAAAGTGGCACATGGCAGAGTGTGGCGATGGAGACAGCAAGCAATGGGAGGCCGTACAGGTGACCCATGACACATAACTGGACCTGGCAGCGCAAGACAAGGCGGTACAGGGGCCCATGGCAGAGTGGCGAGAGCGTAAGCAGCTTAAATTGAAACGCCCATACCACAGAGGGACTATGTTGACCCAATAAATACCATGTTTGGGGCATGGATTGCATTGGAGGATTTAGTCAGTTGTATTCAGGAACTGGTGGTTTGAAATCCAGACTAATCCACGGCCTGATTCATTTTCACAAACGTGAGTCTCTCCACACTTTGTATGTGGACAGTCGTGTCCTCCTCCGCGGAGTTACAAATACCTCCTGTCGCACTAAACACGCGCTCCGATGCCACGCTACTGGCCGGGCACGACAGCCTTTCAAGGGCAAATCAGCTAGTTGGGGCCAAAGGTCAAGTTTCGTTGCCCAGTAGTCAAGGGGATTGTCTACCTCGGTTGGCAGGGTGCTGTCCAAGTAGGCCCGAGCCTGTTTGTTTGAGGTCCTGCTCCAGGTCCACCTGATGCTGCTGCTGCTGCGGCTGGTTAGTAGTTTCCTCACTGCGCTGGTGAAGAAAGCTATCTCATCATCGACTGCAGACTGAGGCAGCCGCTGCTGGTGGAGCTGCCACTGCTCCTACCACCCCACCCCTCCCTGCTGCCATGGCAGCGGAACGCGAGCGCACAGGGCCCACAGTGTCTGAGGGATGGACGTTGGCGCAGAAAGGCAGAGACCAACTGACTACATAGGTGGTTTTTATAGTACGTTATTTTGGCTTCCCTCTCAGCAGGTGTGAAAAAGGCCACCATTTTTGAACGGTAGCGAGGGTCCAACAAGGTGGACAGCCAAAAGTCATCCTCTCTGTCTGATGGTTTTTTATTCGGCTGTCGCTACGCAAGCAACCGAGCATGCTATGGGCCATTTGTGCCAAGGAAGCGAGGGACTCCCTGCCTCCATCTCCACAGCATACTGCCACGGTGCGTCTGGGTCCTCTGTCTCCTCCTCCTCCTCCTCTACCAGATGCTCCTGCTCCTCCACTCCTGTCCGCTGAGTGGAAAAACCACCCATTTCACTCAATAATTCCTGAGCACCAATGTCCTCCTCTACCTCCTCCTCTTCTTCCTGTCCTGCCCCCACAGGGGTCATGTGGCATTGAGATCTGTGCGCCACGTTCTACCGCACCCTGACCAGCCATTGTTAACAGCATTTGTTCCAGGACGTGCAACAGAGGAATGACGTCGTTCATATATCCCATAGTCCTGCCGACTCACGAATAGCGTGGCCTCCTCAAAGGGCCTGAGCAAGCGGCAGGTGTCACGCATGAGCTGCCAATGGCTGACATCTAAGTTACACAGGGGGAGTACCTTTATCCGCTTGTAACATCAGGAAATCTGTGATGGCCTTTCGCTGTTCGTAAAGGCGGTCTAACATTGTAGGGTTGAATTCCACCTTGTTGCAACGTCGCAGATCAGGCGATGCTGTGGAATTCCGTTCTGCCGCTGCAGCTCAAGGAGGGTGTGCTTTGCGGTGTAGGAATGGCTGAAATGCATGCAAAGTTTACGTGACATTTTAAGGATGTCTTGCAGTGGGGATGGTGGATTTTAGGAACCGCTTGACAACCAGATTGAACACGTGAGCCATGCATGGCGCATGGCACAACCTTCCTTGACGCAGAGCAGACACCATGTTCTTTCCGTTGTCGGTCAACATGGTTCCGATTTTCAGTTTGCGCGGAGACAGCCATCTGTCGATTTCTCTGTTCATTACACTCAGAAGTTCCTCCCCTGTGTGATACGTTCGCCAAGGCATACCAGGTGCAGCACAGCGTGACACCGTTGCGCCCTGCACATGTGATATGCCGGTCGGGTTAATGGGACTTGGCACGGGGGGGTGGCGGCTGAGGACACGGCGGAAGAAGAGGTGGTAGAGGCGGACATCTTTGCTGGACCAAGGACGTGCAAACGTGGAGGCAAAAGCGGGGGTGACCTGTCCAAGTTGCTGGTGCGGCTGTGCCGGCACCACGTTCACCCAGTGGGCCGTAAATGACATGTACTGTCCCTGACCGTAGTTACAGCTCCACACGTCGGCGCTGCCGTGCACTTTGGCAGAGACCGACATGCTCAAAGACTGGCCCACCATCTCTTCTACATGTGAATGCAGGGCTGGCACTGCCTTTTTGGCGAAGAAATGCCGGCTTGGCACTCTCCACCGCGGCGCGGCACAAGCCATCATTTCTCGGAAAGGTGCTGAGTCCACCACTTGGAAAGGGGAGGGACTGCAGCACCAGCAACTTGGACAGGAGGACGTTCAGCTTCTGCACCGTCGGGTGCGTGCTCGCAAACTGTTGTCTCTTGGAAACGGATTCCAAGAAAGACTGCTGACGGAATCCGTGAAGAGGGAGTAGCAGGAGAAGGAGCATCTGAACGAGCGGAAGATGCCAACGAGCGACAACTCCCCTCAGCAGAGGTGTTGGAGCCTTGACTGGCTGATAGAGGGCGATTGACGTCGGGTGACGGAGCAAGTAACGGAGCGGGTGATGGAGCGGGGGCTGGGGCAGGCAGAACCGCCGTATCTTTATCACGGTTTTCCCAGGCCACCGAATGGCGACGCTGCATATGCTGCCGCAACGCTGTAGTCCCAACATGGGCCCCCTGGCCACGCTTGACTTTCTGGCCACATAGTCGACATACGGCTACGTTTACTTCCTCGGGCGGCTTGACGAAAAATTGCCACACCGCCGAGTAGGAAACTCTTTGCCCCCGCTACTCCTCACTGGCTGACTGCTACTTCCTCCGTGCACACTGGCACCACTACTGGCCGTGGTGGTAGGCTGCAGTGGAGTTGGTGCTCTACTCCGTGGCCGTTTGCCTCCACTGACACTGCTGCGACCCTGCTGCCTCCTGGGCAACCCACCGACTGTTTTG